TGTAGTGCAAGTAAGTGGCCATCATTCCCTAGGAAACTGATTTTATAAGTCCTGTGGATCTGTTACCAGTTCCACATTCATATGTGTGTGTAATTTAAAAAAAAAAAAATGAACACACCGCTTTAAAATACTGTACATGTTAATTTAATCATATTTGGGGTTAAAATCTGCACAATAGCCATGTTTGCATAGATAAGAAAATTAGATGAGCAAAACCACTAATGTCATTTTATAAATGTAAACTTTGTAGAAAACTCACTGTTTCAAAAGCGGTGACGTTATTTTTTGCACATCTTCTTGAATCCCTGGGCTCTGGGAGGAGGGATCTCAGAAGCGGCAATGTCACTTCTTGTTAGTGTTCATGGTTGCTCGCTGAAAGTACAATTTCCATCATGCCCTGTGATTTGGAGTCATGAGTGGGCAGGACTATGGGTGGAGGATCAGTAGTGTTCTACAAATAGGACTCTGACACTGCCCATCCATATCTCTGCACACTCTTCTTCTAGATTCATTTTTTATGTGTGTATGTTACTACCCTGCACATTATCCCATCAGTATCACATGTGGCCACGATGAGATTTGCACAACCTGCAGGCACAGATGGAGACCTTCAGTCTGTCAGTGAAAGTGTTACGTCATAGGAGGCAGGACAGACCGGGAGTTTCCTGGCCCAACAATCTAACTATGCAGCACTGTAGGAGGATCAGACCAGGCAGTCTGAAACTTATGCGTCTGCCTTCTGGAGTGAGTAGCAAAGTATTTACATCACTGCTAGTTTTCAAAGGACTACAAGGGGAATGTACAAGATCAGTGGCTGGGGGAAAAAGGGCATATCAGTCTTGTGAACAGGATATGAGGAGGATAGAGAGCCTTTAATGTAATAAAGAATACTGGATTTCTCCTTAACAAGAGGATTATATACAATAACACTGAACATTTTTTGATTGCTATGAAAGCACCTATATTTATGTATAATAAACATTTTTCCCGGAGTTTTAGTTTTAGTAACTTAAACCCCATTGTATCCTACACATTTTATATTATCTCTCTGAAAAACTCAAGGCAAACTTAGAGCTTCCTCTTTCTTACATATCGTCCTCCAAAATGATGGTCCTTACTTCCACTAACATTAACTGGAGAAATGTCAAGTGACAGTTGAAACTTACAGGATTACAGATGGCACTGACAAAATCAAGGATCAATGCATAGAAGTTTTTTTTTTCTATTAGCCTCTTAGGGCTCATGTACACTGCAGCTCCTAAACTGACGTTCAGGAGCTGTTCAGTGTTTTTTTCAGCAGCCCCTGAACTCTCCCTAATGTTTTCCTATGCATCCACGGACACATAGTCATTTACAGGCAGTTGAGTTTACAGTCGTTTTTTTTAAACGCACCAAACTTGCTTTCAGGAGTAGATTTTACAGGCGTTTCAAACGCCAAATGCCTGTAAAAGCGTGTCACAAGCGCTTGTAAACGTGGTTAACCGTGTTTATAAGCGTTTGGTTTAGAAGCATTTTTTAACTGTTCCATGTCCAGATGCCGTCCAGAGCCTTTTTTCTTCATCAGAAATGCATGCAAAGCATTTTCCATGTATTCAATTGGACCCGGTACACCAGCGCAGTCAGTTGCAGGATTTGCGTGAAGGAACAAATGGCAACATTATGCTCATGATGAGATCCATAGTGAATACAACCAGAAAAGACAGGTAATCTCAACACTCACTGTTCTCTCTGCTTCTGCTCTCCCTATTCCTCTCAAAATGTCTGAAATAGTTAATTTTTTACTATTTTTCAGTACATTCTGGACATTTGGGAAGGTCTCCTGAGGTTATCTTTTAAAAACACTTCCAAGCGCAAATGCACATAAATGCGCGTAAACGCGGTATGATGTTTTAACCTACGTTTTCCAGCAGTCAGTTTCAATCGTTCAGAAGAGTTTTCTCTGCACATGAGCCCTTATAGTAACATATAAACAAAGCTAAAACAGGATGTGTGCATGTCCTGTTGGTTCTTAAAGTGGTTCTAAAGGCAGAAGTTTTTTTTTTACCTTACTGCATTCTTTGTAAATATAGCATCAAAATCTGTGCTGCTTCAGAGAGATTGTAAGTTGCCAACACTAAATTCTCATACAAAGAATTTGCAAGACATACAAATAAAAGTGTAACGATAAAAGTATAAAAATCAATAACATTACTGGCCAAACTAAACATCCATGAAGCCAGATGTGACAACACTTGCAATACAAAAAAAAATAGTGTAAAAGTGAAAAGTGTAAAAATAATAAGTCCCAGTGCCAAAGAACATTAAAAAAATATCAAAAAGTGCAATCACAAATCTTCCAGTGCTAGATGATCAAACGTTATCCATGTGAAACACATGTTATATTACCCCACTCCGTGCTCAAAAAAGGCTTCCCAGATATATTTAACCATCATGTTATAGAGTGGTCAAAATGGGCTCAAGAATGATCATAAAGCAACCGCTCCTGCCTCCTCGGATCCGACTTACTGAGAGAGACACAGTGCATCCTACAAGACTTCAGCAGACATGCTTTCTCATTTCATGCACATGTCACTTTTATGCCTGACAATGCATGCATTGACGTTCTATACAGAGTGGGTGAATACCATTTGAGCCACATTTGGAGGCCAAAAAGGAGGCTGGAGCGGTTGCTCCACGTTTGATCATGTAGCAATGGAAGATTTATGATCACACTGTTTGATATTTCTTAATGTTCCTTGGCACTGGGACTTATTATTTTTCACTTTCACAGTATTTTCATTTTTACACTATTTTTATTGTATTGCAAGTGTTGTCACATCTGGCTTCATGGATGTTTAGTTTGGCCAGTAATGTTATTGATTTTTACACTTTTAGCACTATACTTTTATTACATTCTATGCATTAAGGTAAAAAAAACCTCTGGATGCAGAGCCTCCCCAGCCCTCCTCCTAATACTTACCTGAGCCCCATCTCAATCCAGAAATGTGCATGACAGCAGTGGCTCTCCAGGGTCTTTCTTTCCTCATTGGCTCACACAGCAGCAGGCTGTGTCAATCACAGCCAGTGAGTCAATGAGGAAAGAGCGTGGGACGGGACAGAGCTGCACTCTGCGTGTGAATGGACAATGTCCATTTGCAGGAGCACAGCTCAGGAGTGAGCCTGCTTGAGTGCCCTCATAGCAAGAGGCTTGCTATTGCGGGCGCTCGGCAGGGGAGAGGAGCCAGGACAGCCAGCGGGGACTCAAAAAAAAGAGGATCGGGGCTGCTCTGTGAAAAACCATTGCACAGAACAGGCAAGTATAGCATTTTTTTTTATTATACAACCTTTAGAATCACTTTAATGCTTCACTGGTAGCATTTTGGTAGATTAGTAGGTGCTTTTGAACTAAAATAACTCGTAACAAGTACTTATCTATATAATGAATTTGATTACATTTTCTTTGAAGCACGGCTCTTGGTTCACAGTTATACTTTATCCACCCACTATATTATACCGCCTAAAAAATGTCTACACTGAGAATTAGCCACTCAACCCAATATTACTGATGTTCTACAAACACCAGCATATGTTTTTCATGTTTTTTGGTCTTGTGTTCAAATATCACCTTGCCAGCAAGAAATATACCAGCTATTACATAGACTCTGGGTTTCACCTTGCCTCACCTCCCAGAATGCTATAGTACCAAGTCACATAATTGGTAAACACCTCAAACAGCTAATACAAACGTGAGAATGCCGAAATATGTTTCAAAACATTTGAGAGCCACGGTTGGCAATGGTTCCAACAATGGCAAAAAACGGTTTGAAGCAACTCCAGTAGGGCTTTATGCTAAGAAGGGTTGAAAGTGTGCTAACATATTCAACCTTGTCATTATAAATGTTTTCTTTATTTGTAGGTGAGTAGACCAGCGTGTGAATGTGAGAGCGTATGAAATAATGAAGTCATACTTTATTGTTGACCTTTTTCATTTTGTATTGATTATATTCAGAAACAAAACACCACACCTTTTGGATTTTATGGTTATGTTTTTGAACAAGGAGAAAACCAAGCAGACTATCAAAGCACACTGTATTTTTCCAGTTTCTGCTAAACTGTAATAACTACTTTGATTGACTACTTGGAAACACAAAGCTCTTTCTATGGAGTTGGGCACACTGTGTAATGGATACTCATTAAAAAAAACTGTAAGAACAACAGGCAGGGACTGATTCCTAAATACAGGTATATAATGAAACTGGATCTGTATTAGGCAAAATTTGGCAAATATACTAGTTTAAAATTTTCCCTAAAAACACCTGCAAAGTTATGCTGATTAAAAAAAATGTATACATTTGTTATGATAGCATATAAATTACTAATATTAATCCTAATATGCCAGGCTGAGTTTGTGAATATGTCCATAGGTGTGCTTTACACCAAACAGTAAGATAAACAGGAAATGTATAATTACCTTCACAGAATTTTTTCTCATATGGGACTCCATCTTTTGGATCAAAACCCTTTAGAGAAGGTGAAAAGATAAACATTTTACAAGTGTTTCATGGAATTTTAGCTTACAATAAATCTATAGCATTTTCATTTAACACATTTTGAGTTATTATTGTCGCATTAACCTGCAAGTATTTTTCATATAAAGTCCCAAGAAAATGTTATTGACTTAGGAGTCACTCATACAGTTGCTGAGGCCCATACATCTTGAATTGACCATTTGGTTATGCGACTAGAGCCAAGTGCTGCATGTAGGAAGTCCACGTAAGTCTATATGGGTGCAGCAGCTGCAAACACACAGGTACTTGCCCTATTTTGGCACACTGTCTATGTTTGGGGCCGCTCACCTGCACCCTCAGGCCACAGTGTTCGAGCCTCAGTGCACATGAGAATGTGGCCTTATAAGCAGACCTGAATGTACTGTTTTGAATGGGCAACAACGTGGCCAATATGATTTATTGTTGATAAATGAAAAATTATGCACTTGTAGACTAAAAACATGCATCTGTAATAAAATTGAAAAGGAGTACACCTTGGTGGGCCAAAGATGGAACACGATCTGAGTGTCCTGGTAGATCCTAAATGTTATGATAATAACCAGCATTAATCAGGTTCTAGAGAATGCAAGATATTTTCTTGTATTAAAAAAAAAAAAAGAGTCCCAAACTTAAAGCAGAGTTCCACTCACCCTGTCAAAAAATAAAAGTCAGCAGCTACAAAAACTGTTGCTGCTGACTTTTAACAAACAGCCACTGACCTGTCCCTCGGTCCCATGGTGTGTCCCCCACAGCCCGTTTCACCGGCCATCCTGTATTCCAGGAGGCCGGCATCTTCAGTGAGGGCACCTACCTGTGATAGCTTGCGGCTTCACAGACGGGTACCCACTGCGCATGCCCGAGTAGCGCTGAGCTTCCTGAATGGTCCTGTAGTCTTCTGGGACCTGTCACGTGTCGCAAAAGACTACAGGGAGGGAGGGAGGACACCTTCCATTTCCGATCGCCTAGGCGATCGGACCGGAAGTGGGAGCGGGTACCTGTCAAATTCGGGTACCTGCTCCCACCCCCAAAAGGTGCCAATCCTTAATGGGGAGCGGGGGAGCAGTCCTTAAAGCGGAACTTCCCCTTTTGGGTGGAGCTCCACTTTAAGAGAGAGGGAGAGAAAAATAATTTTGCCCTTGTACAAAGCAATAGTAAGATCTCATGTGGCTTAATTCAATTTTGAGTGCCAGATCATAACAAAAAAAGTTGTGGAACTGGAAATAGTACAGAGTTTAAAGCTATGAGGATTGCCCTTATCATGGCTACAAATGCAAACATTTTATAGAAAGATATGACATAAAAAAGTAAAAAAAAAAAAAACCCACATTACAAAACCAATTTCTCAATTATATTAAAAGGTGCCTGCTACTGACAATCAAATAGACATTAAAAATGAACATAAAAATGAAGCTGCCCTCCTACAGTGATTCAAAATCACACCAAGTGCTAAATAATAAAAAAAGAGTATATAGGCGCTAACAAACTGAACATCAATATTCACACCAATTTAAGAAATATAAAGAAGTCTCTATATAAAGTGCATATAACCTTCCGTGCTTCAATTTTCAAATCCTGCGACAGTGCCACCACAAATCCACACCCAGTGAGAGGTGCACACTCACTGACACTCCTGTGATCTTTATTTGACTAAAGGTCAAAAAGCGCTGTGGATTGTATATTTTCCTCCTAAACAGATATTGGCCATCTAATTCACTTCCACCAGAACTGGATATGTCGGCTCTCAAGGGCCTCAACTAGTTTCGCTAGTTGCGTCTTCAGGAAGCCACGGAGCTGCCATTTTCTAAACAATTTTTATATACGAATAAGGATGGGTATAAAAATTGTTTAGAAAATGGTAGCTTCCTGAAGACTCAAATAGCAAAACTAGTTGAGGCCCTTGAGAGTCGACATATCCGGGTCCAGTCCGCTCCTTTCCGGTTGGTGGAACTCACGCTGATCCCGGGAGGGAACGCACTTCATTACAGGCTGTTTACATCTGTGCTGATCTTGGGCACAATCTTATTTGAGTGCAATATTTTTGATTTATATGCTTTTTTATATGAATAAAAAAACCACACTATAGCCCTATTTTTCGTTTAGTTTGGTGGCATGGTTAATTTCTGGTGGGTGTTCCCACAAAAAAGGAGACTTGAATTGGATGGCCAATATCTGTTTTGGAGGAAAATATAGAACCCACAGTGCTTTTTGACCTTTAATTAAAAAGAGTTCACAGGAGTGTCGGTGTGTGTGTACTTCTCACTGGGTGTGGAATTGTGGTGGCACTGTCACAAAATTTGAAAATAGAAGCATGGAAGGTTATATACACGTTGGTGCTTTGGACTTTATACAGATACTTTTATATGTTTCTTAGATTTGTGTGAATATTGATGTTCAATTTGTTTGCGCCCATATACTCCTTTCTTTAAATTATTTAAATAATTTCTGTTATGTCTAGGTTCACTTGAAAAATGCATGAAAAAACCTTTAACTGCGTTTATGAAATGCTTTACTTCTTACATTATACGCACCGAAATGCCGTTGCAGTTTGAATCATACAGGGCATCCCAGTCTTCAGGTCTGAGTGAAAATATGAACATAGATCTGTTAACTACATTCATTTTACAACTCTCTTTGCCGAAGAAATGCAAATCATTGCAGTTACTAAGGCACTATGTATTCCAATCACCAATGTATTGTGTTTTGATTAACATAATAAACTCATATAAAATCGGAACATCTGTTGCTAGAGTGGATCGCTCATGCCTTGTCATCCAAATTACGGAATTGAACAAGAAAACAAAAAAGAAAAGCAAAACATTTTTATATAACTCTAATTATCGTTGTGATTTGTATGGTAAGACAACGTCAACTTGATAAAGCAAGACACATCTGCAATATTAAAGTCTGTTTTACATTTAGAGAGACAAATTTGTCAATTTATGACCATTGTAATAAACAGATAAAACATTATAAATCAGGAAACAAGAGACTTTAAAACAGTTCACAGTACTAGATAACTGTCCATTAACATGGTGGCCATGAAAGCACCAGAATATTTTTTTTAGGGATATATGCATAATTATCCAAAATTTTCTACATACAGTCATGGCCGAAATTGTTGGCACCCTTGATATTTTTCCTGAAAATCAAGTATTTCACACAAAAAAGGTATTGCATTAACACATGTTTTGCTATACACATGTTTATTCCCTTTGTATGTATTGGAACAAATATAAAACAGAGGCAGAAAAGCAAATATGACATAATGTCACACAAAACCCCAAAAATGGGCTGGACAAAAGTATTGGCACCCTTAACTTAATATTTGGTTGCACACCCTTTGGAAAACATAACTGAAATCAGTCGCTTCCTATAACCATCAATAAGCTTCTGACACCTCTCACCCGGAATTTTGGACCACTCTTCCTTTGCAAACAGCTCCAGGTCTCTCTTATTGGAAGGACACCTTTTCCCAACAGCAATTTTAAGATCTCTCCACAGGTGTTCAATGGGATTTAGATCTGGGCTCATTGCTGGCCACTTCAGAACTCTCCAGCGCTTCTTTGCCATCCATTTCTGAGTGCTTTTTGACGTATGTTTGGGGTCATTGTCCTGCTGGAAGACCCAGGATCTTGGACGCAAACCCAGCTTTCTGACACTGGGCCCTACAGTGCGACCCAAAATCCTTTGGTAATCCTCAGATTTCATGATGCCTTGCACACAGTCAAGGCACCCAGTGCCAGAGGCAGCAAAACAACCCCAAAACATCATTGAACCTCCACCATATTTTACCGTAGGTACTGTGTTTTGTTCTTTGTAGGCCTCATTCCGTTTTCGGTAAACAGTAGAATGATGTGCTTTACCGAAAAGCTCTATCTTGGTCTCATCTGTCCACAAGACGTTTTCCCAGAAGGCTTTTTGGCTTACTCAAGTACATTTTGGCAAACTGTAGTCTTGCTTTTTTATGTCTCTGTGTCAGCAGTGGGGTCCTCCTGGGTCTCCTGCCATAGCGTTTCATTTCATTTAAATGTCGACGGATAGTTCGCGCTGACACTGATGCTCCCTGAGCCTGCAGGACAGCTTGAATGTCTTTGGAACATGTTTGGGGCTGCTTATCCACCATCCGGACTATTCTGCGTTGCAATCTTTCATCAATTTTCCTCATCCGTCCACGACCAGGGAGATTAGCTACAGTGCCATGGGTTGCAAACTTCTTGATAATGTTGCGCACTGTGGACAAAGGCAAATCTAGTTCTCTGGAGATGGACTTGTAACCTTGAGATTGTTGATATTTTGCCACAATTTTGGTTCTCAGGTCCTCAGACAGTTCTCGTCTCCTCTTTCTGTTGTCCATGCTTAGTGTGGCACAGACAGACACACAATGCAAAGGTTAAGTGAACGTCTCTCCTTTTTATCTGCTTTCAGGTGTGATTTCTATATTGCCCACACCTGTTACTTGCCCCAGGTGAGTTTACAGGAGCATCACATGCTTGTAACATTCTTATTTATCCGCAGTTGTGAAAGGGTGCCAATACTTTTGTCCAGCCCATTTTTGGAGGTTTGTGTGACATTATGTCGAATTTGCTTTCTTTCCTCCCTTTTTTTGTTTTGTCCCAATACACACAAAGGGAATAAACATGTGTATAGCAAAACATGTGTTAATGCAATACGTTTCGTGAGAAATACATGATTTCCTGGAGAAATATCAAGGGTGCCAACAATTTCGGCCATGACTGTATATGGCTTATCTCTGGAAAAAAACAATGGTGAACAATAATAATTGTCCAAAACATTTACCTGATCACTTGCTATTTTCCCCCAGACTAGTCAGCCATTTTGTGCCTGCATGATGTCTGCTCATGCCCTTGGATAAGGAGAATATTCAAGCCAGGGATGAGCACAGCATATCTGTGGTTACCTTAACCCAAAATGTAATCTTCCACTGATTCCACTGTTCAACAAATTTTTATTTTTTGCCAGTTTTGGAAACAAAAGGATCCATTTCTTAATGAATTTCACATTCTGAGTTCAAATATAACAATGAAATTTGTCAATTGGCTCTAGTTTTTCTGTAAACGGAAAGTTTTCTACTATAGGCGTAATGACTACATAATGCACAATAATTATATAGATAGATGTCTTTCCACAAATATAAAGCAAGTGATATTGACTACATAACAAAGCCTAAATGGCATAATATATTGCATAGGATTACCAAGAAAAATTATAGCCATAAGCTAAGTTGAATCATTTTAATACTTAGGATTCTCACTAGTTTTGTCTTCAGTTTGTGTCGGTTTTGCTTCTCTTGGCTTTTCTCTTGTATTCGAGGAAAGGGCTATCTCTTACAACTGCACGTGACTACACGCTTCAGGTTCTTCCTCACTTGACTCAAACACGAAGGATTCTGGTGCTTTAGGAATTGGTAGCCCCTCTCCATGAGGAACTGGACGTATTGCCGATGGAATATTTGGATAGTGCACAGATAACTTTTTCTTCTTATTTAGCCCTTTTACAATTGGAGGCACCATACAAAAGTAACAATTACTAACATGATCTGTTGGCTCTCTCCAAATCATTGGCACAGCGAAAGGCATAGATGCCTTTTTTCCATTCAACCATTGCTCCAGTGCCGTCCCACAAGAATTGCAGCATATATGTGGTGCCCAGCTCTTGTCCTGGTCTCCTATCTTGCAGCCAAAATACAAGCTGTAGGCTTTCTTAATCATTCCTGTTATCCTCCTTTTTTGTGAGATAAAAGTTATTTCACACCGCAGATATAGCAGAAATTATCTGCTTTATTCACACAAGTTCGAGGCATTACTGAGTAGCCTATATAAGCATAAAACGAAATGTAAAGACGCTGTCGAACTACAATCAGCTACAGATACTGCAGCTTTTATGCAGTGAAGTGATGCAATTAAAGGCTAATATTGCATCATCTCAGTATACATGCAATTTTCTATTGGTCACCAGTATCAATTGCGCAATATGCAGCTGAAGTTGCATCATAATTTTGAATGGCTTACGTCATTAGATGGGTGAATATGTCATGGAAACTAGAGCCAATCAACATTTTTTAGGGTCATTTTCGTTTTCAGCACCCCAAAATTATGTAAGATTAGCTAATTTTATGCCCAAAACTTTTTACCTGTTGAACAGTCTTAGCCCAATTCTAAATCTATGGCATAATGTGTTACCAATAATTAGAGTTTAGATAGAGAAGATCTTTTCAGGTATTTTTCTATCCTATTTTACTGGAAAAAAGACATAGGATATTTCATTGTACACACATCTATTTGTGGAAAAGGCACAGATAATAGTTCAGCATCTGTGTTGCAAAATGTAGAAGTAGGCCATCTTCAAGGTGCAGAGCATAAGAAATACCTGGTCTCTACCACTACAAAATGCTGTGAAACTTGGCTACTAGTAACTCCCAGGTCCTGGGCTTTGGAATAGCTCCAGTAGCAACAGTTGACAATGAAGTCAATGGCAGGATATAGTAGTTGAACAGTCACTGGTGGCTCACTACAAAGTTTTTAAGTGCATTAAAACATTTGTTTAATACATCTGACACAGGAGACCCATATGAGGGGGTTTCTCACATTTTTTACAGATTCAACATACAAGATCAGGGGTCTTCAAACTTTCTAAACAAAGGGCCAGTTTTTGGTTCTTCAGACTTTAGGAGGGGCAGACTGTGGCCAGTGGGAGTAGAAAATGTCTCAGCATCAGTAGGAGTAGAAAACATCTCAGGCTTGGTGGTTAGTGAGAGTAAAATAATTACACAATAAGAGGAGGAATAGTGCCCTATCGCTGGTGTCAGTGGGAGAAATAAAGCCTCACTTTTGTTTTCAATTAAAAAAGGAATGGTGCCTCATTGCTGGTGTTAATGGGAGGAATATTGTCTCAGATCAGTGGAAGAAATGGTGTCCCAAGGGCAGGATAAAGGCAAGCAAAAGACCACACCGGGCACGTGGACCACAGTTTGAAGACGACTGTATAAGATAAACCAAAATGCTAGATAACCCTTTATATAGTGAAGGTCACCAATGCACTGCTTAATACTAATCGGAGATACAACACAATGCATGGAGTTCACTGCTTAGGGAACATGTGGCGGTATCTCAAATGCTTTACTGCATAGGAAGGTTCTCCAACTGTGCTGCAACCTGTCCCTTCTCTCTATAGCCAAAGGAACGGTCTCTTCCCCCACACATGGTGCACCCAAACACCAATTTACAAGGGTGAGATGGGGGAATCAGGTGAATCAAGGAAATATGTGAACCAGAGACAGACAGATGTCTTACTGATTACCATTCTCTTTGTGACAGTCCTAAGTCACTAAACCATAAGTTTCAGCATAGAAATAATTTCCTGATGTTGTTTTCATACAATGGAGAAAACTAGAAATGACTCTGAATCTCAGCTGGATGGATATATTTATCAAATTTTCTTTTCATTCAGTGAAATCTTAAATGTAAATCCAATCTTTTTATTTACAGTAGAGCTGTAAAGCACATCATTACATTGTTCTGTCAGCTGCATACAAACTAAAATTGTTCTCATTCTTATAT